GATTCCAGCCAGTCAAAGCGGTTGAAAAAATCACGTGCTTCACCTCAAATTCATTATATATATATATGCCCGCAAGAGAAAAGTCTGTTTTCGGTCAGCAGATTAAAAAGACGCTTTGCGGTCCTGTCTTGCGTGCAGCTTTGACAGGACTGCATCAACCGGACACTGTGAGACAAGACACCTCTGTGCTCTCTGCTGAGACACATTAACCTGCAAACTTGCAGAATCACGTTATGGGTTAATTTTCTTATTGGCAACCAAGATGGACAGAACAGCTGATCCTCATTACTGAGTTCTCGCACAGTGTCTGCGCGAATGCTGAAGATGACCGAATTAACAGGGCAACCAACAAATGTACAGTCTGTGTTACTGCAGAATTAGAGCATTAAAATTAACATGACTAATAAAAAACCTGCAAGATGCTGTTATTTTTTTCGAGTAAAAATCAATTTATGAGAATGCTGTCTATTGACGATTGCGCAGCGTCTTCCATTTAGCAAACGATGTCTCTTCCCCTGGTGTTTCCAAGCCGAGATGACAAGGTGTCTGGCTGCTGTTGGCCAGCCCACAGCGCTGTGTGGAACAGGTCATTCCAGTGAATCAATATCCATAAACATGAGCCTCCTTAGATGTGAATAACACTAAGACATGACGCATGCCAACAAGTTAGCCATCTATGACATAAACCTGTGTTTGTCATGTATGTAAAATCACCGTGATTGTAAGATCTATGGTTTTATTTTCTAAGGCACATTTTCCTTTCTTTCCCTACCGTGACACGCTGTTGCCAAACGCGTAACTGAGGGATACCATCACAACAAGACCCCCGCAGCATGTCATGATAGGGACCCCATGTATATCACATGTATATCGCGGCAGTGTATATCACGACTGGCGCCTTGCTTCCATGCCAACCTGGCACCGCTGTCGCAACAAAGGTCTCATATCAGGATATATTGTGACCAGATAGGACGTGTCACGATATATTAACTATGTGTCGCAACATGGGTTCAGCATATGTCAGGGTATGTCCTATCGCAATATATGGACTACATTCCCCAACATCGACCGGGGCATTTCGTCTGGGTATGTCATATCGCGATATAGGGCCTTCAATGTCGCGACATAGGGCGGGGCATTTTTCCCTGGGTATGTCATATCGCGATATGTGGGATTCATGTCGCGACATGGGCGCGGAGCCGTTTGTCGTATCACGATTTGTGGACTCCGTATCGCGAAATGGGTGTGGGCGTTTTGTCGGGGGTACGCCATATCACGATATATGTACTTAATGTCGCGACAGTGGCGCCGTGACAGTCATGTGCCAGTCGCAATAGGTATCGCGATGTGATCGTGATGCGCGCACTTTTAACGTGAGTCGTGAACGCGCTGTGGATGCCATGACATTCTTTGTCTGCTATTCAGTTTTGACCTCAGTGCGACTTCTCTTAGATTGACCAGTAATTGGAAACCAATGGATGTGTTACTGTATATCCAGCGTGCTCACACAGTACACACGGTTAACCGGGGCTACAGTATTTGGACCAAGAAGAACTTTCATCACCTGTGTATCTACACGTTCTCGGAACTTCCGCTGTGGCGCTTTACCCAATCAGAGTATCGATTCTCACTTTTCATCCAATCGCGGCCCGAACTGCTCGGGGGTTTAGCCAATCGCGGGTCTGAGAGCTGAGAGCTAGCAGCGCCAGGTGGATCGGCTTGTTTACTGTCAATGAGAATCTATTT